CCCCCCAGCTTTACTGGGGGGAAAAAAGCCAATAATGGTGAAAGTTTGGCGCTGGGGGGGGTGGTAAATAAAGAGTTGACAGCTGGAAGCCTCAGAGTCAGTCGGTGTCATGGCCAGGGGAGGCTGTACCCCCCCAGCAGGTGACAGCATGGGGTAGGTTGTGTCACCCCATCACAGCAGTCTCAGCGTCTCACCCCCAAACACCAGGAGACCCCCAAACCCGGGGTAACAGTGTGGGGGGTGGCCCCTTCCCCAAAAACACCCACAAGTCGCTCGGCAGCTCCGAAATCTCCGAGGTCTTTAATGCTGCGACAGCGGCCCCTCCGATCCCGCCTCTCCCCTCCCCGTTTCTCCGCCTTCTACCCCAAAACCACCCCCCCACACAGGGGCCGGGTGGGGGGAGGAGTGGCGACGGGTCCCAGCAGGCGGCAGCGGCGGCAGTTTGCCGGCCGGCGTCAAGTCCTGGTTGCCGGCGGGGCAGAAGCGGCGGCCCTGGGCGCGCGATCGGTATTTATAGATATAAAAGGGGCGGGGCCAGCGCCTCCCCCGCCCTTAAATAAGTATATACAGGGGCGAGTCCGGGCGCGGGCGCTATTTCACCAGGGGCCGGGTTTTGTCGTCGTCGCTGCACTGATGCGCCTTGTACTTTTTCACCTCCGCCATGTACTTGGCCCAGGCGTCGCCTTTACTCGTCAACACCTGCAAGGAAACAAGGGGAAAACAAGGTCGGTGAGCGCGGCACCCCCCGGCAGCACCGCATGTCCCCCCAGGAGCCGTCGGGAGTCCGGGGACACCCACCTCCTCGTCCGTCTTTTGCTTCTTGGCCACCACTCCCGTCTTCAGGGCCAGCTTGTTCCCCCCTCGCCGCCTGCCCACCTGGGGGAAGGGACAGAACTGCCACCGTTACGCGCGCCGCGGGGACCGCGCCGCCCCCTGCACAACGGAACAGGAGGGACGTCCGTCAGACCCCAGCCGGCAGCCGTCCGTCCGTCCGCGGCGGGCAGCACCGCGGGGACCCTGCTCCTGCCGTCCCCTAGGGCAGGGGTGACGTCCCCCGGGGAACAGTGGTGTTGGAGCAGCTGAAGCCGCCCCCATTCCCCAGGAATGGAGGATTTTGGTGCAGTTTGATGTGGTTCAAGAAGAGACAAGAAAAACCCAAAACCAAAAGGCAGCACGACAGGAAGCCCCGAACAGCACTGAGGTGCCCCCAGGACCGCTCCAGAAAGCAGCGGCGTGGCCCCCCCGGGACGTGCCCCCCCAGCTCGGCGACCACAGGTGCCCGCGGAGCTCCAGGGCCCGGGCCCCGGGGCCGCCAGCCCCGCTGAGGGCCCCGGTCCCAGTCCCGGCCCCGCTCCCAGGAGGTGCCGCTGGCAAACCCGGGGCCTGCACTCGCGCCCGGGGAAGCTCTCCCGCGGCAGGCCGCCGCTGCCAGGAAGAAGCGGCCGCCACCCCCGGAGCCAGCCCGAGGGCCCTGGTACCCCCGCGAAACCCTCAGCCGGGGATGCCGCGGCGGGCGGG